AGAGTGTCATAAACAGCACTCTGTCCTCCCAACCATGGTGGGTGTAGGTGTCCAACTTCAAAACAGTACTTGTTGCTCCATCTGCTTAGGCTCCTCCTGGCTGGGCTGTACAACACCGGTACAAGGATCTCGCCCAATTTTACCATTGCTTGAGAAGACAGCTTGTATGTGTCCACAGAGCCAACTTCACTCCTGATAACTGGCATTTGCTGCCTCAAGATTCCTTGGGTTAAACAAGTGAATAATTCAGACCTATCAAGGTAAAGAGGTGCCAAAAGCCCTGGTAGTTTTTGACAAGAGTTAAGGTGTCTAAATATCTTCTGTGGATCTGGGCTAAAGTCGTCTGCTAATGTTTCCTTAACTTTGGCTTCTTGGTTTTGCTGCTCATGTTTATATTTGCATGAGAGAAGAAGAGGTCTGGTGGGTCATCCAGTGGACTGAGATGTGGCTTTGGTTCTGACTTTGACATAGAGTTTCTCTTGGACTTTGGGATTGTCTTGACTGTGGGATTAGTCAGAGCACAGCTTTGGGTGGGCTGGAACTCCGTGCAGCTGACCCTTGAGGTGGCACTGGGGAAAGCAGCAGCTTTTAAACACTTGCTCATCTGCTGTTTGACCAGTTGAACTCCTGGTTATGAACTCCATGTCCTTCCAACAGGTGGGAGACCCTAAATCTGCCTAGGTTGGTGACTTTTCACCCCGCTTACAGAGTGTGGGTGCCTGTTGTCTGTGTCTGTCTCTTCTTGCACAGTAATTGAGAGGGTGGTTTAGGACTGAGCTGTGCAGAGATGGATACCCTGGCTCTGCCTTGGCACATGCCTGAGGCCACACAGTGAGTCATCACGCCTGTCTGCCTTCCAAAGATGCCCCCGGTCCTGCCGCCCCCCCCCCCCCCCCCCAAAATGGGAGCATTGATACTGCCTGACAAGGGGGAATTTTGGAGGTTTAATTGTGCTAATGTTAATGTAGCATTGAAGGGACTCTGGCATGGAAGGTGCAGGGCAACACTAGAGTCAAAGCACAAAAATCCCAAGGAGTCCAAACCAGGCTGGGTTAGAAGAATGCTTCACAGCCCAGGATCCCAGCAGCTGACTGCTCTGCGAGAATCCAGGGATCGTCCTTGTGAATAGCTCTGGGAGACTGAGGGAAAACTCTTCAATTCATAAGTGCCTGGTTCCTGTCCATCAGCGTGGTTCTTGGCTCCAGACCTGGCAGTGTTTATTAACAGCTGTAGTTTGTCATGTTACAGGAAGCCAAGTTCCCTCTAGTGAGCCTTGCTTGTCTCTGAGAAGTGGGGGTGAGAGAAACCCTCCAAAATGATGGAGGGCTCTTTAAGAGGTGCAAGGATTAAAAAGACCTGGCACTGTGCAGGCTGATCTGCCTATTGTTGTTAGGCAGAAGCTGACGTAATGACTGTGACTGTACCCTTCCCAGCTCCCCCAAAATAACTTCTGAATCCCTTCCTCAGTCTCAGCCAAATAAAGGGGATGAACTCAAATGTGTTGCATCCCTACCAGTTCCATGTAAGCAGGCAAGGGGGAGGAAGAGATGCTGGCCATAGAGTCCCTGCTGAGAGAAAGGGTTGACATTTCAACCAGGCTCTTGGTTGAAAAAATCCTCACCAGAGAGCAGTGTTAACACCCAGCTGCAGGGCGAGCGAGGGCGGGAGATTGTTTTTTGTGAGCCATTGGAGAATCCAGATGAGGCTTCGTTAGTTCCACCACTGATGGCGCAAATTGTTCTCTCGTGGGTTTGCAAATGCGTTGCTGTAGAGCTGATTTAGGGTTTTCCACTCCCAAAACAAATGCTGCAGTACCTGACCTGCCTCGGGAAAGGAGATGAGGTGGTTGTGAAGCTCTGCTCATCCCGCATCTTATCCCACGTGGGAGAGCAGCCTCACGGATGCTGAGTGTAACTTACACTGCAAAAGCACTGGTTCCGCCCCCAGAGCGAAGCATGAAGTTTGCATGTGCTGTGAGTTGCAGGGTACCCCCAGCAGTCCCAGGCTCCTGTTGGACTAAAACCCTGGCAAGAGATGTTGTCGTGATGGGTTGTTACAGTGAGTGAGGAGGGAGCCAGTTTGGCAAAGTGAGTTCCTAGGCCCCATGCTCTCCAAGCCACCCAGAGCTACCCTCCATCCTCAGGTGCTGGCTGTCACATGTCACCCTGGCTCCCATGACACTGTGGGAGGATGCATTTGGAGACATTGATACTTCATTGTCTCTTAGTAGATAAAAGGATAGACATTTTCTAAGTAAGCATTATAAATTATATGGGTGGAAGTGCCCCGGAGAGGTGATCTCTTTTTTTTTTTTTTTTTTTTTTTTTTTTCTTTTCTTTTTTTCTTTTTCTCTCCCTACCCCATTCTGGATCTGTTTGAGCTTCCATTTGAGCTTCTATCTCTGTTCCATTTGAGCTTTCTGATGTGTTTGGGTAGATGTCTGTCTTTCGGCCTTGCTGGAATTTGGAAAACGCCTGTGCCCTGGTCCCAGTGTTCGAATAAAACAAAGTGCATCCCTCCCCAACCTTGGGCAGAGTTCCAGGAGCTGCATTAATGAGGCATCTGGCAGAGGAGGCTGGGAGGGGATGTCTTTGTTTTAATGCTAACCTGACTGAGTGTAAAAATCAAGTTTCTGCTGCCTCTTTGCTTTTCCATATGGCATTTTGATTACAGTCTGCTTGGAAAGGGGAAGAGGAAAGGGCACAGATGATTTGTTGAGTTGTACAAGAGATTTTTTTCCTACTTCTTTTAAAACTATCATCATAACACGTGCTGCATTTCACTTCCTTCAACATTTTGTTTTTCTTGCCAGGGAACCCCATTGCTGCTGTCATTTTTCCACATAGGTTTCTCATACCTGTCTGAAGTCAAGCACTTGCTTATTTTGGATTGCCATTGCCCAGCTGGGATGACTGGTGACAGTGGGGGTCAGCTTGGAGGCTAGTGGTGTTGGGAGAGTGCACATATTTGGGAAGACTAAATGGAGGGGGTGGATTATGTAGGCTTTCTTGGGTCATGGTGGGGCACCAGCACTCGTACAATAAACCTTCACGTAGCAGGCCGAGCAATAATTCCATGTGTCCAATGTGGTAGCAGTGTTATCTGAATAAATGCCTGGTGATAGACGTTTGGGGTACAGGCTGGGATTGAGTAAATTCAGTTGGAAGACATAATTCTAGTGCAAATAATAGAGTAACATAATTATTCATTAAGAAATGTCTGGACAAGAGAGACAAAGTTTCTGTTTCTCTTCCACATGGGAAGAATCATGTGTGCCCTGTTTCACTTGGGTTTTGATACATTTGTTTGTGTGGATTGAAGAGCTAAGATGATCCTGCTGTGATCTGAACTTGCAGTTCTAGGAAATGTAGTTAGTCCAGCCCCACAGCTAGACTTCAGACAATTATGTTGCAGACCATCTTGCTGCTGTAAGAGGCTTGACTGTAAAACACTTTTGAAAAGAAAACCTTGAGTCCCTGTGAATAACTCATCCCTGGGCTGTGTCTGCAAAGGCTACTGGGGAGGTGGATCTCCGTTACCTCTTAGCACAGAGCACAGTGGTGCAGGTCTGCTTGACACAGTTGAAAATTGCTATATTTAGCAATATTTAGCTATCTTTACTTGCATTTTGCACGCGCAAAGATGGTCCAAACACAACAAATCCCAGCCCTTTAGAAGGCCTGCCAGCAACCGACTTTAACTTATTGGAACCACCTTATGCCTGTGATGCAGAAGGTTGCCTCAGTGCATGAACTGTGTCTTAGAGCTAAGCAGTATTTTAATCAAACTGCCTCATTCCTTCCTAGACATTCTTATTCACCTCTATGTGACCCAGTGAACTCCCTCAAAGAGAGACAGGGAGCATCACACTTTAGGGTTGTGCTTGTAAGCCAGCAGATCCCTCCTCTGTGTAGTTTTTTGTCTTACTTTTGAGCCCTTCCCTTTAATACTGGAATGTTAATGATAGTTCCCATAACAGTTTTGTGAGATGTGGTGCTATAAATATTTCAGGTTAGTATTTCACAAGTGTGTGTGTGCTTAGTGCTGTTTACAGAGAGAACTGGAGCAGTCACTGCAGTGCAGGATGCCTTTCAGCATAGGTTTGTTTCTGCTTGATGGCTCTTCTTGCTCACGTGCTATCTCACCGGAAAGATCAGGTCCTGCAACACAAGGTAGAAAGGTGCATTGGTGCTTAAAGAAGATAAGGGTATTTTGCTGTATCGAGTAGACTTCCCCTGTCAGCCCAGAAGTGAGCCTTGTGAGCTTGTTCTTCGGTAGATCAGGACCCAAACATGCAACTGTTGACTGACTTTGCAAGGGATTTGATTTGAGAATTTTGTGCCTTGTGACAATCGCGTATTCACTTGTGTACTTCCTAACTGAGTGTACAAACGCATGGGTACAGTGTCTGTCTGTGCCACTGGACGGAACGCTTGTTTGCGTTCACAAGTGTAAGATGCAACACTGAAGTCCTGGGCTTCGGCTGCCTCACGTACTGGAGGATAAAAGTGCTTTGTCCTGAAATGCCCCTTTGGTGGGATGTTCTATGCATCATAATTTTTATTATTATGAAAAGGTTTCAAGGGTCATCCGAGCATCCTCTGGATGAAGGAATAAATGAAAAGGCCTAAATTATGCAGTCTGTAGCCACTGTGACATGTAAGTCTTTAATTTTTGAATCTGGGGGCTGAAGTCGGGTCTGTTACATTACTGTAAGTCCCAGAGTAACTCCGCAAGCAAAAGCAAGGAAAAGCAAATTCCTTATGGAGCAGTTCTGATCAGACTCACGCTGTACATGCGTAGAGCCAGTCCTTATCCAAACTTATCTTTTCATCTATTTTTAAAAAAAATCTGGAGAATTTACAGCTCCCTCCCACATGTCTGCTTTCTGGTGTCAACCCCATGAAGTAGAGTATTAATCATAAAGTCTGTGAAACCATTTCCAAAATGCTTGTTTTGGACCATGAGCAATGATACAGGTAAAAGGAGGCAGTTTGCATTTGGGAAACAAGTCTTGGAGCTTGCAGCAAGTGCCTTCTGGAGCGGCAGCATGGTTATATGTTACTACCACTCCTGCTTGACTATGCCATTTGGTTTTTCCAGTGTTGCGTTTGGAGGCTGGGGCCAAAAGCCCTTGGCTGTATGAATAGCTGTACGCAAAAAATACTTTCTAAGAGCAGTTGTTGCAAGTTTAGGAGGACATGTCCTTACATCAAAGGCTATAAACTTTCCTTTATAGCTGATTCCTGCGATGTGTGAGGCTAAGGCCGAGGAAGCTGAGATGATACAATACTGTGCAGGGTGAGGCCTCCCGGAGCCATGTTTCAGCATCTGTTCTTGTAGCTTGTATGTCTAGCCTAAAGAAAGGGGAGAACAGCCTTGTGATGGAGAGCAAGTGGTGCTGGTGCCGTGAGACTTCTCTGAATTCGGATTAGGCCGCAGACTGGATGGGTTTTGCTTGTGACGTTAATTGTACACTTGTGGGAACTTGTTTACTAAAGCACACGCATCGACAAATAAACTTTTTATTGTTCAGAATTGATTTTTGACTTGGAGGAAACCTGCCTGAGGAGCAAGGCAGAAGACGTACCCTGAAAACAGGATTTTATTGTTAATGTTGATTTTTAATTCCTTCTTTCCTTTAAAAAAAGAAAAGACTTTAAAAGGTGCCATCTTTTGGAATAATAACATGGGAGTTTTGTTACAGAAGAGAAAATAATGATTTCAGATCTTGATGAAATTAATACTAGAGGTGCTATTCTGCAGGATGATACTTAAAAATCCAGTAAATGCCTAGAAACCCCTACTCTCTGTTAGAATAAAAACTCCAAGCGATCAATATTAATTCGGTCTTACCCAAACGCTGCTGTTCTGCTTGGAGTTTTTCATTATGACTGGTGTGAGATTGTCATTTTTGATGGTGAATAAGGGCCCTCATTTTCTCTCTCCGCAGAAATCTATCACCGCTCTTGATAGCTACCTGCTGCCAGTTAAAGCGTAGCAGTAGGGTTGTGAATTTAGGTTTTGTTGTTGTTTTCAACGGTGAGCAGGTTTCTTATTTATTTAGGCCCTGATTCTGCAGCCACTTAACCACGTGTTAACATTGCCTATTTGAGAAGTCTCGCTGAGTACAGTGGTGCTAACTGCGTGCACTTTGGGAGACTCCTCAGCGAGAATGAAAATGTGATGGATTAATCTGTGGCGGCAGAGCACATACAAAGCAAAACCTTGTTTTCTCTGCAGTTTGGCCTAAAGTTGCCTTTGTTTTGAGAGTTCTTGAAGTTGTTTTTGTTCTCTCATATGATGCTCAGTCTGTGGGTAAGCATGAAGGAAGGTGCATCTTCATTGCCTCTCAGGAACGTCGTTGCCAGCTGCCTGACTTTGCGTGAAGCTTTTGGATGTAACAGATGGGGTGGTGTTGCTTGTTCCTGGAAATGGAAGTGGCACATTTAACTGAAAGGTCAGGAAGGCTTGAAAGAGCAGAACAGTGGTGTGTAGCTGCTTTTTAATGTGTGTAAGTTAATAATGATGACTTGTTTTGCTGCGATGTCTTTATTCTTGAGGAAATCTTAAGTAATTTACAAAGTCTTCTCACTAATTTGATGTTGTATTCTAGGTGCACATAGATGAGCAAAGATGGCATGGGTAGGTGATTTCCTAAGACGTTGAGGGAGGGTGGATCTCAGAGCCACTCTCTGGCTCTTGCGTGGTGCTTGGAGAAAACAGCTCTGTCTGGAGTGCCTTTCTTGCAGTTGCGGGAGTTAACTGCTATTCATTAAGCTCTCCTGAAAAATTAGCTCTTGAGTCACAGCAGAAAAGACTTCAAGACTTTGGGTGCTGTTAGAGACTAGATGGCTTATCACTAGGAATAAAACTGTTACTGCAAAATGCCTGTGTTGCAAATACCAAGAGTTCCAGGAAGAGCACACGTACTGTTCTGGAGAAAAGCACACATAGTTCCCCATGGTTTCCCATTCCAGGAGAAGAGAAGCTGAACTCAACCAGCCTGGCTGCCAATGATGTCAATAAAAATTGACTTATAGACTAACAGGAAAGGGAACTTTGCTGATAAATGAAATTTCTTTGCTTTTCAGGGCGTCAGGAGGCCCTTCTGGACGAAGTGGACATCGAATGGTTGCTTGCAAAAGGCAGCTGATCATCTTCGGAGGTTTCCATGAGAGCGCAAGGTGGGTTACCGCAGGAGGGTTGGTGGTACCAAATCCTCTTTAAAAAAAAAAAAAAAAGACAACAGAATTTCAGCAGTGACAGACAGCTGGGCTTTAATGGAAGGATTATCCTCAGCAGTACTGTTACTGAACTCGACTTTTGTGTTAGAAAGACAAGTGATCTTGATTTAAAGTCTTCAAGTGTTTGAGAAACCATTGTACCACTTACACTGAAGTAGCTACTCATCCTTGTCGCTAAAGCTCAGTACGTCATTTTTGGCCTCTGAATCTTGTCAAAGAGCCTTGTCTTCCTAGAAACATCTTCTCCAGTAGGCTCTCACATACTACGTGAGGTCGCAGCTACGCTGTCATGGGGACTGTGAAGAGAGCTGAGCTAGGTATTGTCTCAGACAGTAAGCAGCATAACCGCAGTCCCTGGGAGCACACTACAAGTTGCAAAGCCCACCCTACGTTTGGCTGTGTCCTTGGGAGTTTAACCTGTGCAGAGCATTTTCCACTAGCAGGATGTGAGCTGGCTAGTAGAAAGAGAACAGGGCATATGTGTATTTTTCCCACCCCCCTAGACAAACACAGATCTAATCTGTTTTGATCTTTTGGTTTAAGTTACCTTGGACTATGCTAACTGGAAAGAGTTGACGAAACCTGTGTTGCAGTAAGGAATGACATAGGTAAAAAAGAATCCAGAGAAGTCTTGCTTAAGGGAACTTTGTCAAATGCAAATTGTTGCACTGAAATAGTAACCTTCACCTGAACAAATCTGTACGTTGCTACGGAAGGAGAAAAGCCATAAATGGAAGGAGTTGAATAACGTGTTGCACCTCTTCAGAGGTTCCTGGTGCTGTTCCTGAAGTTGTTTTATCCTGTCCTGAATGGTGACCATTACAAAAACCTGTGGTCTACCAATTTGCTTTCCCTAGAGATTACATCTATTACAACGATGTATATGCCTTCAACCTGGACTCCTTCACCTGGAGCAAGCTGGCTCCATCGGGGATTGGGCCTGCTCCAAGATCTGGGTGTCAAATGGCTACCACGCCTGAGGGCAGCATAATCATCTATGGAGGCTACTCCAAACAGGTAGGAGAGACCTTGTGGTAAGCCAGTGCAGTATTTCCTGGATGCTAAACAGAATAGCTGATGGAAAAACTAAGGGGCTAAAGTGAAAACTAAAATACAACAAACTCAGGTTACCTAAACGGGGACGATGCAATGATCTTGACCTGTGTGGGCTGTGGAGTCCTGTGTTTTGACTGCTTGGAGAGGGCAGTGGGCTTAGAGCTTGGGAGAGCAAAATTGGGATCTTCTGTACTGCTCCTTCCCTCTGCTCAGTTTTGCAAGCCTTGTCTCCAGTGCAAGATTTGGTGATCTCATCACATAACTGCCTGCTGCTGTGACTGACGATGTTTCCGTGTGTCAGGCAGCTGCCAGATGTCCAAAACACACTGGTAACGAGGGTGCACGTTAGCCTGAGGTTTTGCCAGCTCAGACTGAATGTGCAGTTGTGTCCTTGGATTGTTTGTACACAGGATGGTTCAAGCTGCTGTGAATCAGTACTACTGCCAAGAGAGGCATCTTGTCTTCTAATTGTGCCGTCGTGCAATTGTGTGCTGATCTTGGTTCAAAATGAATTTTGGATTTTCCCTGCTAATCTAATCCAATATAGGGAGGTAATATCATGGAGGTAGGAATAAATAACTGGGAGAAATTGGCAGTTTTGGCAACAGTGGTGGTTACTGCCAACTTAAAGCATTTTCAGGTAGTACTTGTCCGTACTCTAGCACTTGTAGGTTAAAAGCAGCAGTTGTCAGGAGATTTGTGTTTTCTTGCGTCAGTGAAAGGGTTAAGGGAGCAGCACTAGTTAGCAAACTCAATAAGCCAAAGAAGACTTTTGATGAGCACCAGGCTTCCTCTGGTCTGCTTCTTGCTTTGTTAATCGTGGTAATTTTTACTGGATAGCCCTTTAGACCATATGTCCTCACTGACCAAGCATCCCTGTCTCTGTGCTGGGTGAGAGGAAGTAAATATTTCATTGAGCAAAAGGCTCCTGCAAAAGCTTTTAATGTTGCGAATGGAGACAGAAGACCCGGATCCTGCTGCTACTGTCTCGGTGGAAAGGCATCGCTTCCAGCAGTGCGTCGCTGGGGGAGGAGGACGCATTGTTCTTCTGATGTGAATAAATGAACAAAGAAGAAAAGCAGGGAAAGGGGAAAGAAGATAGTCTGTCCATATATTTAGAAGCGTTTGTGCCTCCTCACAGCCTGCGCTTAGGGCTCTATCTCATCAGAAGTGCATTTGATTAAACAGCGGTAACAATACAGAGGCATTTTCTGCCCAAAAGGGCTTTGTCCTCTTCCTTTCTCTGTCCTGTTTCCTCGCTCTTGAGGGTGGGAAGGAAGCACGAGCCTGCATGCTATGCTAGTTGTGGATCTCTCACAGCTACTAAAAGCAGCTGGGTTTCAAATGCACACTGAGCCCCATGGAAATGTAAAAGTTGATGCGTGTTTGCAGTTAGTTTTATTCCACTTTACGAGTGTGGGCTCTGTCACATTGCTCTGGGTTGTTTTGAGCTAAATAAAAATGAAGTAGAAGGGCTGGGGGAATGCAAAGCTGCCCTCAGCCTTTATGCAGGACACTGAGCAAGGATAAGAGCTGGGTGCAGTTCCTCTCCAGCTTGGAGAACACCTTTTAGATTAAACCAACCTCCTGTTATGAATCTACTTCCTTTGTAATATGGAGAGCTAAGTCTGCATCTCTCTGATGTACCATTCCTAAAAGAGACTTTGCTTGTGTATTCTATAGCACAAGTGAACGTTCAGGCAGGGGTGGTGCAGCCGAGCTACAAACTGACCAAAGCACTGGACAGAAATTTTCTCTGTAGCTTTCTTGAGATGCAAAGGCAACAAACCTTTAGCATGGTCCTGAAAATTTAATTCAGCAAGATTTAACTCCTCTAGGAGAAACAACTTAATTAACATGTGGCTATTTAATTCTCCTTGTATCTTTGCTTATAGCTGATTGTGGAGCTGAGTCTCTCTGAGTTTACTTTGAAGTGAAGAGTATGTGTTTGGCTTGTGTACTCCTCCCAGAGTCATTGGCTGGGGTTCTCTTGGGGGAGAAATAAGAAGTAGAAGGTGGAGGAAACAATACTTAATTGGAGCTGGGCAAGCTCAGGAGAAGACCTGTTCCTTGTCTCCAATTAGGGAGGCAGATGCTACATTCAGGATTGCTATGAAGACATTTTTGCATATGAAACCAGGCAGGTGTCCAAGCAAAGTGCCATACACCAAGTCATGTAGAGACTTCTCTTCTAGTAAGAGGCAGGACTAAGCTGCACATACGTTGTAAAAAAAGGCATGGATTTGCGTGGATACCTCCTGAGGCTGGAGCTGCTCCCAGGCGTGTATACGGTGTGAACTGGTTTGGAGGGGGGAGGAGTGGAAATCATAATAGCTCCTGTGTTTCAGTATTGGCGTGGTATGGCTGTCACATTGCTGGAGGAGAGTTGTGATGTGGCAAGGCTGTTTTCCTGTGATGGGCAGTTCTGATGCATGATATCTTGTGGTCCTCGTAGCCCTTGTAAATCTGCTTTGAGGTACTGTACCAGAATAGCTGTGCGGTGTGGTATAATGCACGTTGCCTAGGGCAAAAAGAGATGTAAGCCCAGGAGATTCATGGTTATGGGTAGTATTGTAGGCATCTTTGTACCTAGCTGGCTGTTGGGGCTCTATAAAGCTTGAGCAACACTATCAGCTTGCAGCCAGGGATGTTCCCCTGATCGAGTGATCAATCTGCCTGTCCTCAGTCTGGTCTGAGGCACTGTGAGCTGGGAAGGCAGAAGCAGAGGGATTTGGTCCCTGCTTTGATTTGCTGGACTTGCATGCAGAACTGAGCATGGAGGGCCAGTTTTCAGTAATGTCTGTCAGTCCAGGAATATTGCTGAATTCCCTTGATGTGACCTGAATAAGAAAGTCTTTTCTGTGGCTGGGGAAATGGAGGCAGAAATGATCAAGTGACTTGTCTAAGGCACTCTAGTACTTGTGGACAGAGCCAGGGTAAGAACCTTGGTACCCAGACATGCCTTTGTCTGTGCCAGCCACTAGATTTTGCCGTTCAAGTGGAGAGCACCCAGGACACAAACGGTGAAGAAGGAGCTTTACAACCCTGAGACTAACTTGAGATGTTGGTGCACTAATTCACAAGAGCATGTCTGATATTTTAAGATGCACGATTCTTAGCACAGCGGTGTCCCTGTGTTCATCTGTTTCATCTTCAGCCTAGAAGTGATGAAGGCAACTACTGTGATCCCTTACAGAAGGGGATGTCGTGGATGTTGTCAGCTCTGCCTAAAACATACTTCAGAATCCCACAAGGAGCTCAGACTTGCTCTCTTCCCGATCTTAAAGATGTCCTCGCCTGTTTCTCATGCTGGGGATGGGGCTTGCTGCAGCAAGCTGCATTTTTGGCTGTATAAAGCAATGATACCTCTCTATTGCTAGGCAACATGAGCACACTGTGCCTGGCTGGCACGGGGAATGCAGCCGGGAGGTGTCGGAGGCTAAGACTGCTCTACCTTGCAGGTGCAAGCAGCCTACAAGCCACGGGAGGGCTGGCATTACATGTGTGCAAGGCTTTTGGATGCCAAAGACAACCAGGGTGTGGGGTTTTTTGGGGTTTTGGGGTGGTTTATTTTTAGTGGCAAGCTTTGCAAAGCTGAATTGGATTGTGCTGGGAGATTGCTTGTGGCAGGGCTGAAGTGTTTGCCTGAATTGCAAGGTCTGGTGGGACTGGTTCCCTCTGTAGTTCTGCTTGCTAAGGGCTTCTGCTAATTGGATGTATTTTGCCACTCTTGATCTCTTTTATCAGATATGTTTAGCACGTTATACACAGGGAATCCTGATTCCCCTTCTTCTCAAGAACACCTCTCTGTGCCTCAGTTTCCTTGCTCTTTGAAGGGGGATAAACAGGCGTCTTGCTGTCTGTCAGTGGAGCTAAGGGGTTTTTAGCTAATGCCTGTAAAGCTTTTGTAACTTGCTAATGTACCTCTCTGCACAAGCAGTAGGCTGTGGATATCCAAGCCAGTTTTGTGCTTGAAAGCAAACACCTGGAACTTCAAGGCAAGAAGGACAGCGGGGGGAATGGGGGCTTCTTGTGACTGACGGAGCTATTTGCTTAGGGCAAGCGGGTGTCCTGGGTGCAAGGGGATTGATCTCTCCACTAGTGGTGTACTGCTCTGCTGGTGAAGTGTCTGCTTTTGAGTCAGTGCGAGTTGGGGAAAACAGGCATCTCTTTGACAACAAATAACTAACTCCCGCTCCACCTCATTGGGGTTTTCTCAGCCCAGGAAGCTTTGTCATGTTGCAGACGCAGCGTGTTTACTACAGGGAGCCGTGTGGCTTTCAGGAGAAAAATAATGCAGTTATTCTACGCAGCTTGTACGATAGTGAGCCAGCTGCTCTCTCAGCGTTTGTTATTTCCCCTCCTTTCATGCAGACAGTGCACATCTTATTGTGCTCCTGCACCCTTCAGCCTGTGTGTCCCCTGCACATTGAATGTGTACTCTGTCTAGCATTTAAGGACAAACTGCAGCCTACCTGGGACTTGGGGTGTGGGGCGGGGGAAATAACCACCATTTCTGTTGTCATTAGCAGAGAGGCACTTTTCAGGCACTGGGGTGCACTTCAATGCTATAAGGTATCTTCCTGCCAGTCTCCCTCTCTGCCCATCCATCCCTGGCAGATGTTTGCTCAGGTGAGGCTTGGAAGGATGTTTGTTTAAGGTGATGGACAGGCTCAAAAGGCTGCTGTATCTCAGCTGTCTGCACCCTGCAGTTCGTTGGTGACTTCTGCTGCTCTAGACCTGTGTGACAGAGACAACAAAGTGTGACATTGCCAGAGGATGGCACTTGCTCGGCACAGTGACTCACAGCCCTTTGAACTTGAGAGCTACTGCTGTAGGTGCCACAGTACATGCACTGTCAGGCTAGGAATTGGTGTGCTCGATACTTAACGGCACTTTTCCTAGAAGGTGTTTCTTTCCCTTCCTGCCCTGACAGCTCTCTTTTAAGGGTCTGTTCAAAGTGGGCAGCTCCCAGCCCCTCCAACCACATCTGCAACACCAGAGCTCCTCTAGCTGTGCCTTAGAGCCACTCACCAAGGCAAAAACTTGACTTGCTTGTTTTCCATGTGTTGGAGAACTGGCGGTGGCTGAAGGAGTCATCACTGTATAGCCTCTTACTCAGAAAATAGGACTGTCACTGGTGCTTGTTCCTACAGGCTTCCTGTCCCTTGTGTGCCTGACGTTCTGTTGCTCGAGGACAGTGGGTGGAATAGTGCAGTTGTTTACTTCATTGAAGTGGTTGCACAGAAGAGGATCTCTCCAGTGCAGACATCCTGTCTTAATGAGTGTGTGTCTTTCAGTTTGCTAGTGGGCATGCTTAGGTGCATGTGGAGACCGAGAAGATGCATAAGCCACAGCCCCAAACTACCAAATTTCCCAAGACAGCCCTACAGACCCTGGTCCTTAAGTTAACTGAAGCTTCCTTTTTGCTGCACTGTGAGCAGAGTTCTCCTGTTTCCTCTGAAACTTCATTATCGGCCTTCCTCAGGGCTTCTCAGCGTCATCCAAGTTACAGCACTGTTGTGCAATGCCTCAAACGCTTCCTTCTGCCTTTCTAAGAATTTAATACCATTCCTACAAGTTGGATACTGGGCCATGCAATAACAACACAGCGTACCCTGCAATAACAAAACCTGTCAAGTGCCAGGCACGGGGTTGGGTACGGATGTGCAGCAAGAACAGGACGGCACCGGCACCGTGCTGTTGTGCTCTCAGGTGTGCCCAAGCTCTGCTCATCTTTCTGAGGGCTGGACCCAACCCTCCCAGCTTTTGCTGGGATCCACGGCCTGCATTGTGGAAGCAGTTACACAGCATAGCAATGCCATTGCCCCCAGGAGGAAGGGAATTACAAGGAAGTAGGAGCTCTGCATGAAGGATGGGTGGATAATGACATTATTAAAAGACCTCCTACAGTGGTGTTGCATAGCGCTGCTTTCAAATGCTGCATGTTGCTATGAGTGCTGGAGTACAGGGGCTTACAGTGAAAGGAGCAAGGGAAAATCGCATTTAAAATGATGCATTTAATTGCCTCAACTGAGGCTTGATCCTGTTCTCGCTGGTGTCTGGCTATTGCCTTTAGTAGGGGCGGAAGTGGGGCTTCTGTTTCTGTTTAGGAGAAAAAAAAATAATGTTGCTCAAGGCTCTATGTGGCCCCCAGAGCTAAAAATGATAGCTGCAGTTGGGCTGTGGCGCAGAGAGCGAGCTGTCACCTCTGCTTCTCTTGTAGTGGGATGGAGATGGCGGGGGGTGGCAGGGACTGAAAGTCTGCTTGCTAGTCACAGATCTGTACTTAAACTTGGGCCTTGCAAATGATACAGCACAGACGTTCTGAGCTTCTGCTCAGCATTCAAGGGCAGAATCCCAGAGGGCCTTGTGAGCCCTGTGGAAGGTTGTCGTGTGCCACTTTGGTGGAGTGGGTATCTGCTCTCTTTTACAGCTAAAGAAGCAGAGGCACGGATGTTAAATGAGTCCCTTGAGGTTGAGAGCACCTGATACTGTCTGTGGCAGAGTAAAAGGCAGGACCTTAGGTCTCCTGTTTCCTTAGTGCTGCCCACCCTTCCTTCAGCAAAACAATCAGTTTTAATCCCTTGTGACGATTTGTTTCTCTTCTCTGGGTGCCAAAATTCCTGCCCTTAAACTGCATCCTGTAGTCTTCAGACAGCCATAAGTCCCAGGATCTGTCTTGCAGCCTGGAGAGCCCTGTCTGGTTGTCACTGGCAGAAGCTGGTTGTGGCTCATCACAAGAAGTAGCCCTGGTTTGCACATATGGTTGTGAGCTCTCTGATGCTCCAGGAGCCACACTGTGACTACCTCTGGGACTTATCCTTGCCCCAGTCACTGTGTTTGCATTTTCAGCGCAGGAATGTATAGATTCAGGCTGTGTTTAGGCTTATATGTTGGGGTGGTGAGTTCAGAATGGCACATACCACCATTCTGGTATGGGTGACTTTCTAGGCCTTGAGGAGTTGGACCTTCTATGTTTTGAGCCACTGAAACTGTTTCACTGAGCATCCCTGTCTTTCCCTTCTCTGCAGAGAATTAAGAAAGATGTTGACAAAGGTACCCTGCATACAGATATGTTCCTGCTG